GTTCTGCATAGACCCATCCATACCATATCACTCAAACTCCAACGGGCTCATTCTGTTGGAGTTCACCAGGTCTGGCACAGTGACCTGCATGTACAAGTACATAGACAAGTGCATGCACCTGTTGGATTTTGCGAGGATCAGTATGCTTTCTAGTGCAACTGCAAGAGCCTAGGGGGTTAGCTTAGGGGGTTAGGGTTAATGAAGTAGTTCCTTCTGCATTCCTAAATGTGCAAAAATCAAGGACACCTCAGTAATCCAGTGGCAAATTCTATGGACCTTGAGTGCAATACAATTTGTGTGGAACCTGAGCTTGTCCAAACCATATTTGATTGGTCAGAAGTCTAGCCATACCGATGCCATCATTGGTCACCCCATGTCCAATCACATAAAACCATCTTTTGTTCTTTCTCTTTTGTATAGATTCCATGTCCAGCTGGATGATAGCACCAACATAATGATTCTCTTCTATTTGGCCAACCGATGGCTTGCCATTCGCTTTGATTTTATCACCATTCTTCTGACTGGAGGCACAGCATTGCTGGTGGTGTTAACACATGGATCAATTCCGGCAGCTACTGCAGGACTGGCCATTATCTATGCCAATCAGGTACAAGCTTGCTGTTTTTGTTAATAAGGGAAAAAATATGCGCTTGTGCTGGTCTTAAACGTTACTTTAAGACTAGCCAAGGTCATATTTATTTCCATTCATAAATACCTTTTTAGTCAGAATCAAAAGAAGTCAATATATGATAGATTTTCAAAGGGTTTTGTTCTTGAATTGTACTTTCATTTTTTCCGTCAGTACACCCCTGTCCATTTTATGGTATATTCCTTGTGCAAATTGTCCCAAAGATTCTCCATCTATGGACTTGGAGTGCTTGGCGCGTTCTGTGTGCTGTGTCGCCCACAGACTCTTGACCAATAGGGATAAAGTAAACTGTCTCGAATCTAGGTGCCAGAGCATTATCACATCTCGGTGGGCATTATTAAATGTGAATACATGATTAAGTTGCATGTTGTTGAATTATGAGACTGTCTGAGGTATTTATAAAGAACAGAAAACTAGACCTTGATTGTTATGCAACAAATTGTTCTGCAAAGTAATTATATGGTGTCATTCTTTTTCAAATAAATCTCATCTATCAGTAAAGAACATGTGCTGTTTGCTTTGATATTGATAATTTCATTTTTTTATTAAGCTAACCCTAGCAGTCCCTGATCTTCCAATTTCAGTATAATTTTACATACACCCTAGGGAGTTAGGGTTAAGCCAGTCCTAGTTTTGCAGATCTTTTCCTCTACTTATACTTTGAGTAATGTCGTTTTCCACTGGATGTTATCAAACTACTTATATTTTCATTGTAGTTGCTTGGTATATCACAGCACACTGTGCGACTGGCTGCTGAAGCCAATGCAAGATTCACCTCAGTAGAACGGATCAATTACTACATCCAGGTATGTCACTTCCAGATCGTTGACATTTTTGAATATCTTAAGGCAGATTGGGATGAAAAGTTTTTGATTCATTCAATCCATGCCTGGCAACCATATGGCCCCTGGTTGCATAAACCTTACTGTCCCATTATCAACCTTGGTTGTGTCACAGTTTGATGGGTTTGGGACCGTTTTGCCCATTTTTTGTCTAAGTACAAGTCTATCTTTTGTTGTTTGTTACAGGTTATTTGCAGTATCACTTTAAAGGAAGTTAGGATTAGAATTCTGTATATTTGTAGTTCCAGAGACAACTGCTTTTATATGAATTTGACTTGAAGTTCCCTTTAGATTATTGCATTGCAATCTGCCCCGAGCTGAAGTGCAACCCAATCGGCAAAAGAAAGACAGGTGGTTATAAGCGGGTTCTTGCACACATTCTGTGTGTACACGAAGACCATACAAGGCAAAATAAATTAGTTACGCATAATCAGTGTGCTCTGTGTCAAACACGTAAATACTTGCGCACCTCATGGCACGCCTATGCGGAGAGCACCTAAAAAACACACAACACTCTGGCCCTTCAGGATATTTTAAATTGACTTCCATTTTCAAATATTTCTGGCAGAATTTACAGCAGGAAGCACCACGGACGATCAAACACACAAAGCCCCCTTCAACCTGGCCATCAGAGGGTAGGATTACGCTCAAGAATCTGAAGATGCGTTATCGTCAGCATCTTCCTCTGGTCTTGAGAGGACTCAGTTTTGAGATCAGACCCAAGGAGAAAGTCGGAATTGTTGGTCGAACAGGTTCTGGTAAGTGGACTTTCTACATATCCCTATTGTAAAATATATCAACTTGAAAATCTTTGAAGTTATTTTTATATCTATAGGTGCTTTCTTGGGAATAATTGAGTCACCTTTTGTCTTTTTTTCTGTGAATAGTGCATCACCTTGGTACCAAAGTAAATGTATGCAATTGCTGTTCCTTCAAAAGTATCAAGAAAGAAAAGTTGGGAGGAACAAAAGCAGAAGTATCTAGATTGAAGCGTATGTGGTGTGGTACCTCAGCACACTAGATGTCTCCATTGTCGGTGGTTTTTTTTAACTGGTAACTTTTATAGTCCTGTTACAACACTGATGCAACTAATGACATCTTGTCTTTGAATACAGGCAAATCCTCCTTGGGTGTTGCTCTGTATCGTTTGGTTGAGAAAACCCATGGTAGCATCATGATTGATGGCATAGACATCAATCAGATCGGCTTGTATGACCTTCGCTCCAAGCTCTCCATTATTCCACAGGATCCAGTCTTGTTTATTGGAACCATCAGGTATCTTCAAATTTTATGAACTTTGACATCTCAATGTCTCAAAAAAGTGTCTGAACAAGGACATTTTCAAACTCAAGTGAGGACATACAGTGACTGTACTGTCTTTGTCTCAAATGTCCGTGTTGCAGACTAGATGGGATTTGGAATCAGATTTACTAAGTTTAAGTCCCGTTTTCAATAAAACTAGAATCTCAGTAATTGGAAGAAGTATGCATACGGGTCCTTGACTTATTGCAGGGTGGTTTAACACCCAGGTATGTGACCTCCTGCTACATTTAAGTCAAATGTTAGTATTTGTTTTCTCTCAGATACAACTTGGATCCAACAAACCAGTTTACTGATGACGAAGTATGGAAGGCCCTGGAGAAAACCTACATGAAAGAAACGGTTAGAAATTACTCAACAATTCATTATCTTTAGTTCTTGTCAATTCAGGTAAAGTTTTGGGAGTTTTACAGGTGGCATTTTTATATGAGGAACTCTAATACGAGCGATTCACAATAGTGCGCCACCAAGAGTTTGCAAAACGCTGGCCAATCAAAACGCGCAAAATTTGTCGACCATTTCCAAATGTGCATTGGGTTGACAAATTTCGTGCATTGTGATTGGCCAATGCGTTGCAAACTCTTGGAGGCGTGCTATCGTGAAACGACCATATTAATTTGCAACTCGAAGGTTGGTTTCTGTTTATCTTTGCAGATAAGTGGTCTAGATCAGCAACTTCAGGCACCTGTCATCGAAAATGGAGAAAACTTCTCAGTTGGAGAGAGGCAACTATTGTGCATGGCCAGAGCTCTGCTTAGAAACAGCAAGGTAGGTATTATGTCCATGGCAAAAGTTTTTTTTTCTGGTATCCATCCGGGATGAGACAGAGCTCACCCTGAAGTCAGGCACAACACAAACAGTCAGTATAGAAGTTGGTGCAGCCTTTAGGGGTTCGGGTTGTACACTGTTGTATTGTATAAATTGAAAACCATTTAATTAAGTAGCTAAAAGTGTCTCTCTCTCATCAGCTGTGTTCTGTGGGTAAAAGGTTTTAGGTAATTTTTTAGAAATATAACTGAAATATATCTACTTATTCTATCTTTTATTTGGGTTCAGATTTTAATCTTAGATGAAGCCACAGCTGCTATTGACACAGAAACAGATAGCTTAGTTCAACAAACTATCCGACAAGCATTCACCCAGTGCACTATACTGACCATTGCCCATCGTCTGAATACCATTCTGGACTCTGACAGGATTCTGGTGCTGAGTGATGGAAGGGTAAGACTATAAAGCCGTCTCCGAAATACTTGGCTATGACTTGAAATGATACACAGCTCTATGCTTAAGGCAGCAATAGAGTGGAGTATAATTTCAGGCTGCAGCCAAGTCATTCAGACATGGCCTTACACAGTCAGTGAAGGCATATAGTCATAAAAGCACCCTTTGGTTAGCTATAATGATTCGTGGTTACTTGTGAGCAAGAGAATTTGTCATTTTTCACTCAGAGCTGTAGACAGCACTGATGAGGACGAGGAGAAAAGACTCATAATCTCAATGAACACATTCTAAGAAAATTTCAGGCATAAGAATTAATGAGGATATATTGGATTTCCTGTAGTAGCTGTGCGGATTATATCAGCTAATGATTGATGCTTCAGTTCAGCATTTGAAACCATTTTGATGTTCATTTGTATCCTCAGGTTCTGGAATTTGACTCGCCATCCAAGTTACTGGCTGATCCGTCGTCATATTTTACCGCAATGATGTCAGCTATGGGTGATCAGACGCACTAGAATATGCTAGCCAACTGAAAATAGACTAGACATCAGATTAGACGGACTTCCTTCTTTAAATATGATGATATACAATACAGCCTTTATTACAGTGTCCTTACCCCAAATCCTGTCTCTTTAGTGGTTTATATTTAATTTTTGTATTTCAACCAAAACTAACAGCGAACTAATTGCCTTTTATGAATTAGGTGTCACAAAAGCAATTACAAATGGCCTTACAAATAACTTCAAAAACAATTTTTAAAAATTAAAAAAATTACTTCTAAAAAATTAAATGAGCTCTTAAAAAAACAAAAATGAATATCGTCGTCATTTTCTTCGTTTTAATTTTGATAAGTATAATCAGGATATGATCAGTAGCATAAGTACCGTGAAATTTCTGAGGAATAACCAAGGGGGGCTGTAACCCCCTTGTTTAGGAGGCACTAAAAAATATAACTTAACTGTGGCTTTGCAAATATGTACAAAGGTGTCTACTTTTGAGATTTCAAATGGGGAGGGGGGGGCAGATCCTCCTTTATTTATGCCACTGGTCACAGGGAACCATTTTAGCCAGGACCATTTCAAAGGCTATGCTAATTATACCGTTACTGGGGTTGTTTATACAAGTTCATTGGTGGCATATGTAGTAACGATCTCATTAAGCTATCTCATCTAAAGCTCTACCAATACTCTAGAATTGCATTTACTTTTCCCTCATGAAATGAAATCCATGTAGTACCAAACAGTATTATTCAACATTAATGACATTTAGTTTGTTTCTGTTTTATTATCAGGGATTAAAGTGTCTTTCTTGAAATATGTTCTTAAACAGGATCGTAGCTTAGTTGCACAGTAGTTATTATTTGATTAGTGGCAATGTGTTTTTTCATACCTTGAAAAAGTTTTTTGTTTATGAGAAGCATTCATTCCTACAAACAACTCAAATGAAAATAAATTATTCTGTTTGTCTGTTTCTTTAACTGAAAAAGAGGACACGTAGGCCCTATTCTACCAGTATTTATACACTTTTGAAATGGTAAAAAGGGTCAATTTGGAAGCATAAACGTTTTACCAAATGTGCTAAGTGTTGAAAGAAGTATACTGTTTTGATAATTAAAATAATACTCCAGACACTGTGTGGTATAGTCTTTGTTTTAATCAGTATTAAAGAAGTTAATATGTGTAATACTTTGCAGTTGTCAACGTTCATTCCTCTTCATGGTAAATCAGATATTTTAAGTAAATCACGGCAAAGCATAAATTAAATAAATTTGAACGACAGTATAAGTAATTGTATTACATTTTGTAAATTTTGTGTGAAATGAGTCAGTTGATAATGAATATCATTTTCCTTTTTTTGGCTCATACCCTGTTCAAAAGGGTAAAAATCTCAGAAAACTTCTGCGAAAGCCAGACACTGCAAAGTTGTGGTTAGTACTTGCTTTTGCATCTTAATTTGGACTCAATATTGTGAAGGTCTGAGAAGGAGGTTGAAGGAAGTTGGTCAAATTTTCGCTCGTCGCCTAGCGCCGGAACAGAGCGCTGGGGGCCGGGGGAGGCTGATGGCCTCGCGCAGAGTTTAGAGAAGGAAGTACGTCACGTGGGGGTCACAGCTAATGATGCGCAGAGCATTGTCGGTAAATCAAATCGAAGATCAAATTGTGAATTGAAATTGAAATAATTAAAATTGAAATAAGAATACTCTTGCTTGATATGAAATTCATATCGCACACGTATTGAGGATAATTGGAATAGTAGATTTATAAATGTACGTCAAATAAAACGACCATTATTTTGACAAGGCATGTAAAATTTGAAACGTATAATTTTTGCATCATTTTGTATATGGCATAAAACATATCCAACCAGAGGGTTTTTAGCAGGCATGCCCGAAACACTCATGAACAGTCTTTCTGATTATTTTCTTGATCTTCATGAAATTATTCTCGTCGCTAATAAAACTTGGAAAATAAATGGCACGGCAGGCTTAGATACATTTTCGTAGAGAGAGAGAGAGCTAGAGGTTAGCACCATACAGGAAGCATCGAAGCGTCAGCTGAAATGTTTTCACCACGAAAACTGCAATTCTTTACTTTCTTCAAATTTCTTGAAGTTACTTAAGAGCTCTTGAATCTTGACTTGGGCTTAATGGTACATCATGGTTTCGATCATTATTTCATGTGGATCACCGCAGGCCAAGCACGCGCACATATAACATGTGCGGCACGAAGAACACACGTAAGCCGGATACCTGCATCGACGGCTGTTCCATGCTGTTTGTTTTGATGCAACACGTGCCAGAGATGCACGTGTCAACTTTTGCCAAAGATCACGCTGAAGTGGAAAAGTCATAGGAAATCGGCACACCGACGTCTACGGATGCTTGTGGCAGCCTACTAAAAGAAAGTAAAACATTTATTTCCGTAAAATAAGGTCAAGGTAAGTCAAGGTAAGTACTATATATTAGGTCTCATATTGTGTGGCAGAAATATGTTTCAAACTCTTGATGATTCTTAAACTGTATCTCTTATGGTATTGAAAAACTAATTAAAATAAAGTGCGAGATAAAAAAATTGTATGGGATGTTCAGGAGCACTGTACTGACGTTGCTGAGTGACTGGTAGCCTGTGTTCGTTGCATGCGCGGTAGTGGTTTTCCATCATTCCTATACGTACATGCTATATATCTACGCATGTCCAAATGAACGGTCGTTCATGTCGACATTGTGCCTGTTTTGCGTTGAAATCTGAAATGTTTCTTGGCTTGAGCTGTGATTTTATGGAGAATATGATGTAGATAAAACCACTTTTCAGACTAACCTGAAGTCATGCAATGTCACACTACATTTTTGTCTATATGTTGCATTGTGTTGTGAAATTGGGTCTCTTGGAAGACATTTTTCGCTGTGACTAGGACAAGTTGTCTGGGGGTTGTCTTGGGTGTCTTCATTGTCTTGGTCGTCTGTTGTCGGCAGTCGAACTTGCTCGAGGCACACCCCTGCTACGGTGCGAGTTCTACATCGTTGCGAAATGATTGTGAAGCATAAAGTACCTTGGTAAGTACCGGTACATACTGTACATGAATGCCTCCATGCACATGTGTTATTTCCTAACATACCTTACCACTATGCCTTACACCATTTGAAAGTTTGTATAGCTATGTGGCTGCAGCTTATTTTTCTTCTTGTGCCCCTTGAAAAATGCGTGCACCCCGAGTGCCACACTGGCATTTAACCCGCTTAATGTTAGCCCTACTTACGCCACTGCTGGCCCTTTTTAATATGTTGGATTTTCTCTCCAACTTGACAACCACCCAGTCCATTAGAAAATTGAAAGAGCAGTTTTTTGTGTCCTGGTCATTCAACTCCAGAGTTCAGACTAAAACTGACCGGGCGACACGTTTCCCATTGCATGAGTTGGTCAACGTACAAGTTAGTCGGCATACAAGTTAACCAATCCTTGTACAATTTGTTCGGTGTATGAGTTGGCTCAGGTACGAGTTGACCAGTTCCCTTTGAAAGCACTAGAAACAAGTCATGTAGAAAACACAATCTTTCAAACTAGTCTCACAGTGTTTGTGCACAGGGTGTCAAGTGACATCTGTATATATATACAGTAAACGGAACTTTTTCTTCGGATATTTATGCACAGCAAGATTTGTGTTAGACCCACATGTAGGGCTGTGAATGGCTCTCTTTTGACATTTGTCTTGATACTGTTGCCATCACATGGATGGTGATACATGTAGTATGAAGACAAAGCTGTCAAAAGAGAGCCATTCACAGCTCTACATCATGTACATTGTATATGTATGTGTTGGGCTAGATTTATGAGTGCAATCAGCAAGATTGACAATCCCATTTCACCATCAGTCCTCCAACTTAACGTCACGACTTTCTAACAACAGGACAATTGATTTCTGCAATCTAAGGGCCAGTACTCATCCCTTCAAACGTCCATTTCTTCACGCTGTGCAGAGACCGTAGAAGGTACGTGTATGCCGTGCTGAAAAATATCAGTCAGTTTTTCATGTTTTTATTTCATATGGATTGTGGAACCCACAGTAGTTTCTGTCTGAATTTTTTTAGTTTTATAGTTTGATTGCTTGACTTTCTCAATCTGTTTATTTCTTGTACATATGATACATACATTACTTGCATCTGAGCCAATTTGCACAAGAATGTGGGTCTATCCACACTAAAAAATGCATTTTGCATGACATACACAAATTTCCAAGCTCTCCTTGAATTCCTGTTTAACCCTACCCTTCCCCAACCACACAGAATTAAACAGCAGTAAAGTGTTTAATTCTGTGGGGATAGGTCTGGAAGGCCCTTAACAGCTGGCTTTTGCATTGGGTTTGGCATACCTCAGAAAACAAAGTCCAACAGCCTCTGTGTACAAAATGGGTGTTTAAATTTGTGTGAATGGGGAAGGTAAGGTCCAGCAACCCTTTGGGGATTAGGGTTAACATAACTTAAAGCAATAGAAAGCTGCAGATTTTGACACCTTTCTCAAATGTTACACCAGTGGCACCCATGTTTTCAGAGATGAATTGCTGTTTTAGAGCTATAAGAGCGGTATTTTATATAACCTGAAAAACATGACCTGACACAGTTATGTGCATGTTTCACTGGAACTCCTAATATAGGCTGGACAGTTTCATCAGAATCCTGATTATTTTAACAATGAACAACCAAATCTTATTAAACTGTGTAAACTATATCTCTACAATTATACAAATATCAGTAAAATTGTTAAAGTTCACTTCTTGACTCTCAACACTGTTAAAGAAAGAGATGATTTTGTAACTTATGTGTAAATGTGTCTTAGTGTGGGCAGATTCTCTGCAAAAAGACTAAAAAGACTGCAGCAAATACCTGTGGCAGTAAGAGTTGAATAAGTTGGATTTGCCTTTTGTTTACAGTAACTTTCAAGATGGAGATGCTTATTATGGCTTCTGGAGGCCTAAACTCCATTGCCTCCAGTCTGGGACACATGGAAGGGGATTCCTACATCATCTCAGACTACTGCGAAGGTAAGCAGAATTTCAATAATACGTTTCATGAATGATTAGTGTACAATGTATAGACATGTACAAAGTTTCACCTTCTCCAACAAAGTGACAGTTACATGCGTCAAAAATCAAGTTTGGGAATTTAAATGTGATTGAATGGAGAAAGTGTGTGACATACATGTGAAATTTTTGATTCGTTACAGTTTGTGTGAAGTTACTTAATCATAGTGGTTTGTTTCTGAATGTGTACATGTACATGTTTGTTTGCAGAATAAATAATTCCATACATGTACTTTTATTTTTGTTCAAAACACTTGCTTGACAAGTTTTTCATTGCAATGCCACAATACATAATTAACATGGAAATGAAATGATCATGCCAACGTATTTCTTGCCGAATTGCCAAGATCTTGACAGATGCACAGAAGTAACAAAGTAACTGTGGTATTGGTAACAGTCATGGCAACTTGCTAATCTCAAGGGACCTGCGTGTCTCTATTCTCTTGAAGCAGAAATGAAAGTCTACAAGTACAAGTTCCGAACGGAACAAAAGAGGGTGTGTTTTTTTAGTACTTACTGCGTAGGTGCGCCTCATGGCGTGCAAGTACTGTATATACGAGTTCGATGCAGAGCCCCCTGAGTATGCATAACTAATTTATTCTGGCATGTAACGTATGGTCTTCATGTACACGCAGAAGGCATGCAAGAACCTGCTTGTAATCACCTGCCTTTCTTTCACCAATTGGAGGTGCACTTCACTTCGGGGCAGATTGTTAAATTAACATAGTAATTTAAGGAACTGACCTTTTCTAAGCTTGTGAGCCTGAGGTCTTAAAAAAACTCGTATTAACACAATTTTGTACAGGTATATTTGATGTGAAACAAAATTTGTTTGCTCCTATAATGTTCCTGTACTGGTGTATACTGTCTAAGATACACATGTACATGTAGAGCCAGTTAATCTGACAATGAAAATCTTTTAAACCAAATACGTAGAATTTTGAAAAATATATATACATGTAATATTTATAACATTTAAGCTAAACTAAATCTTAATGATTTTGAATTTAAATGGTGCCTCTGGTTTAAAGATGATCCTTCCTGTTTTTAATTGCTGTGCAAGAGCCAAAAGTAATTGTCACATGTCCACTAGGACGGAATTAAACCAAGAATGATTTCTTACTACACCTTAACAATGCTGTCAACATGTTGTGTAAGATGGGCATGGATACTTGAAAGTCATCAATCTTCCTTCTCAATCTCAGAGTACTGACACTAAAGCGAAATTTAACGCAACCTGTGAGATTTACATGTATATGTAATGTTAATGATGCAAACCTTACACAAGCCCTTGAGGTCATCAGAAACAAGGTGGCCAGCTTTGCATAACACTGCGCACGTGCACATGTCAATAATGCTTGTGTATTGCTTGCATGTAGATGTACACATAGTACTGGCATGCAAATGCACTCTAGAAATAGCCAGAACATTTTATAATGGTCTCAAATGCCAGGCAGATGTTCTGTTTTTCCTCTTATGAAATACTGAAAATTTGATCGTATTAAATGACAAATGTGCCATTTAAACTGCATGTGTGAACCAAGCCCCTTCTTTATGTTTATGCAAGACATACGTGCACGTGTATAGGGGGACAAACTCTCCTGAATCATGCAGTAAACCCAGTTCTCATTCAAGGCAGATATTGATGACTCTGTCTAATTGTTTTGACATTGTGATATAGCCAGACAATCCTGAGAAATCTCAGCTTGTACATGTATCAAGAATGACTCAGACTGCGCTCAGCTTTCCACTAGATTGAATTCGGTTTTTTTCATGGATCAGTGCCAAATACTTCATAAGAAAAGATTGTGTTATGTTGCCAATCCATCAATGTCATATTTCGGTGTCCTGAGGAGGGATGCTAGGGCAGGGACTATAACAGAGCTGACCTCTGAGATAAGGGAAGCTAGAATCAAGTTATATAATAAAAGTTTATATTGCCAAATGCTCATTCAAAATTATTTTAAATATATATGATAGAGAATGAAAAGATTCAGACCAATACATTGCATTTGCAATTGTGCACTGGTTACTTTACTTTTCCAGTTATCTGGTTTATTCGAGGATTTATACACAAGCAATTCTGGATTCATTGTTTGAAAAGGAATAGCTTCTTGAAATATTTCTGGTGATCCTGGGTGCACTTTTGTAGCCATACACTGTATTTCTGTGGTAGAAACTGATTTCTATCTCTCTCAATCCTCCAGATGTTCTTGAGGAAATGTTAGACAATCTCAAACATGAGAACAAAGTCACCAGACCTGTGCGCATCAACATTGCAAACTCCAAGGTCGTAGAAGCGGTAAGATTGATTGCAAGGTTGCCAAAACAATGACAGCATTACCTGCATTTGGATTTCTTTATAGATAGAAGATAGAAAGAACAAAAAGGGAAAACGTATTCCTCTGCCCCAATCTGGAACATGTCGTACATTAAACTGATTGGTGAAATAGATATGAAAATGATGTTATTCGAAATGTTAAAGTTCTTCATTTAGGAGTGGAAAGTGATTGCTTGTGTCCATTTTAAAATTGTCTAGGATTTGCTGCACATTCTGTCTGCTGCAAAGGACAACGTTGAAGCCTTCCAAGCCATAGTTCGGTATGTAGCCTAACTTATCCAATCATTTTGTGATCCCTTGAAGTTTTTAGTTTTCTTATCAAACCCTGCTCCACTTTTTAACCACTTCAGCTACATCGTAGCCAATCTATTGTACACACTCATTACATTGTTAGTGATGTTTGTTTCACCTGTTCAGATTATTGGTAAACCTATCCATGCCGCTAGAAGTTATCTTACCAGTTCATCCCAACATGACCAAAGCTGATTGGGAACAACGTCACACCTTGCAAGAGATGCTGCTGAAGATCAAGAAACATTTCATTGAGGAGCGACCCATTCAAGCAATTTTGGAACAAATGAGCACCCAGCTGGAGCATGTGAGAGCTGTTTGTTTGTCTGTTGTCAGTTTGGCTGTCCGTGTAGTGGTTTTATTTGAACATTTCAACCATTGGGTGCCAACACGCACCACTTGTCTTTGTGCAAAATGGTCTCAGAATATACATGTACATTGTATCACCTGCTTTGTGTATTTCATGTAATTTCTGACTGTAGCTTGTAAGAACATTTCTAATATTTGTCCTACCTTTTTTGTTTTCTAGCATGGGTCTTACCAGATGGACAAGGAATCGATGGAGTCCATGAATGATTGCTTAGTACTGATCCGTAACATACTCCACATTGAAGAAAACACTGGTATGGAGACTAATAATGAGATTGTCAGGTGAGGTCCTTGTTAATAGTCCTTATTAATAGTCTTAGTTAATAGTCCTAGTTAATAGTCCTAGTAAAT